AAAAAAAAAAAAAAAAATAGAAGAGCCAACAAAAATTTGACTTTCATGTGATGATGGAAGTTCCAAATGTGGAAGGGAAGCACCAGGGGGAGGAAAGCTCTCTTGTAGAAAATATATGTAATAGATATAAAATTAACATCAGGTCTCCTTTTTGTAAACATTAAAGTTTGCTTGCTTCAGAAAACATTATCTTTCTCACACTATGGGATTTTCCCCTCAAAACAAATCTGGGGAAAAAAACATGACTTGGTACTACCTCAGCTTCATGCACATAAGTCTGTTCACCCACTTAAGACACAAGCCTTACCTTCTTTACTCAGTCTAATCCCACACAGGCAGTCTCACCCCAGGGTAAAGCTACTCCTTCTCATCTGTTACCTGAGTGTTGATTCACTTCTTTGCATTTACACCAAGTAGCACATGTCAATGTTAAGCCTTTGCCTTTAGCCTGCCACGTGCAGAAGAATTTACTTGGATGTAAACTATGAATTCCATTGGTTCGTTTGCTCATTTACTTTTCACATCGCTGCAAACCATGAAGTATGTAACCCAATATACACTGAATTCCATGTGGATTTGGTATTATTTCTGGCTTTGACTGTTGATCTATACATGGGCCACTACCATACTTTTAAGATTTGAAGATTACATTGTACCTTTCTTACATTTCCTGCTACTTTCCTCTTTCAAATGTTCTGGAAGAGAGTGAGCCTCAGAATAGTGGCTCTAGCTGTCCCTCTAAAATAATGAAAATGTGCAAAACAACTAAAATGAACACTCTGGTGAGTAAGCAAAGCCACAGGGCGCACTGAGAAACCAACAGAAACCACTGAACCTCAGTAAAGAGTGGGGTCTGTGATGTTTCAAATTAAGGTTATTTTGACCTCCTTTCCCCCAGCCCCCACCCTGCTCAGCAGCATGGTATCCATGTCACAACACTGCAGACAACAAACAACCTCGTATCTTCGAAGGTTATTAAAAGTATTATCACCAGGGGTCACCAAAATGTTCACCACACATGGCAGAGTAAGGAGCTCCAAGACTATTTCTTCCCCAAAGCAAGTAATGAACTAGCAAGCTCTTTCAGAATCAACTCCGAAGAACTCTGGAATGCTTCACTTGGTGAAGAAAGCTTCTGCTGCTTCATGTTTAAGGAGACACATGGCATTCTGAACAACAGCCCCACCCCCCTCTTCTCCCACACCTCAAATAGGCAGCAGCTGTGGAGACAGCAGCCCTTACTCCCCTGCAAAGTACTAGGAAGCAATACAGACATTCTTCTCAAAGGAATGTGGCTTTGAGTCTCAATTTGTCTGGCAGCTTCTATCCATGACTGGTGCAGAGGTTTCCTTTCATTTTGCCCATCTCTTAGCATTTCTAGAACGGAAAAAAAAATGCCCCCCAAAATCTGAAAACACATGATTAGCCACAACAACTGGGGCAATGAACAACACTTGACACAAGCCACTTTACAAAAATCAACAGAGTTCTTACTTCAACCTAGGCAGTGGGAAAAAGAACCTAAGTTCTAAGCCACTGAGCTTGTGTGTATGTAAGCCAGTACAACCTTTCACTTAACCAGCTATGCTCAGGCTAGGTAAGAAGGAAACCAAGGCTGATGAATTTCAAAAATAGAAGGTGTTCTAAGAGTAAGGGTCAAGATACTTATCCAGAGCAAATTTTTAAAGCTTGCTGTCCAAAATTCAGAGTTTAAGTCCAAAAAGTGAACAAAAGGAATGCTTTTAATTGGCATCATTACAGTATTTGCTTAAAGAAGCGGTACCAGTCATTAGATATAAACTTTCCCAACGGCAGCTTTTTTACATTAGTATTCCTAGTAGCTAGCATGATGCCTGACAACCCTTCACACTCAATATTTAGCAATTTGACCAAGTCTCTTTGACCGTCCTCTCTCCAATTCAAAGAATAAGTTAGGGTTTTTTTTTTTTTTTTTAAAGATTTATTTATTTGTGCATACAGAACTGAGGTAAAGGCCAGAGGTGCAGGGGCGGTGAGAGGATTCACCAGAGACAGAGTGGGGAGCAGAGCAGGCCGACTGATGAAGTGCACTGCTGAGGGAAGCAGCGGGCGGGTCAGGAGAGGTCTGCCACGCCATGTGGGTGACCTCCGGGGTGAGAATCGAACTCATGCTGAAGTGGCTTTAGCTTCTTAGTGATGTACTTTAACCTGCTGCGTCACCAGGGAGGGCCCTAAGATAGGTTTTTAATGAAGAGTAAGAATGCCCTGAAAAGCTAACATTACATATCTCTTTAAATATTTAATATTTTACTAGTGGTGTGAATCCCCACAGCTATATAAGTAAAATAATTAACATTAGATCTGCAATTCATACACTATGACTTTTTATAAAGCAATAAATTTTGGCTTTTAAAAAAGAAAATGTTTTGATGAAAAATACTGAACAACGCCAACCAGAGCAGGAAACACAATTCACCCCAAATCAACTCCTGTATATTTGAGCATTTCAGAATAAAGGAAACCAAAAACAAAGTCCTAAAAAGTCCATGAATAAAAGTATTTGTTTTTAGAGATAGTGCAATGAATTATTGAATTTGCTTTTAGTACTTCAAAGACTTATTAAGCTTTATTTTTAAAGAGAACTCAGATATTCAGACTATCACTGATAGCTGAATAGTTCATTTTGAAAAACTGTACAATAACTACAGGTTAATGTGAAATAAAATTAAATACTATAAATGCAAATATAGATGTTAATTTTACTGACCTTAAGTTCAGTATAGCTAGAGAGAACTACTGACAAAACTTGCTATCTGTGTCTTCCATGTGTTTTCCCAGTATGTATGTATATGTAAGTGGCATATATGTTCATATAAAGATATGTTTCTGAATATGTAAAAATATTATACAAATGTTTTTGTAAGCTTTTTTTTTCACTTACCACCTATATGGGTTGAATTGTGTCACCAAGAAAGGTCGTGACGTCCTAAATGACAGTACCTATGAATGTGACCTTAGTAAGATACAGGGGGTTTGCAAATGATCAAGTTAAAATGAGAACATTAGGGGCCTTAAGCCAATATCACAATGTCTTGATAAGAAGGGGAAATTTGGATCTAGAAATAGACATACATATAGGCAGACATTGTGATAAATCAACAAGTCAAGGAACACCAGAGATTGTCAGCAAACCTCAAAAAGCAGGAAAGAGTCATGGAGAGCTTCTCCTTCACAGCTGTCAGATGGAACCGACCCTGCAGACTCCCTGATCCTGGAATTCTACTTCCAGAACCATGAGACAGTACATTTCTGTTGTTTAAATCATTAAGTTTGTGGTACATTGGTATTAGTAAACAAATACACCATCTTAAATCACCTCCCAGTGTTAATAAACATCTTTTCCAACTTTCTTAATGTTTTCATCTAACCCACTATATGAATTTGCTATCATTTTAACTAATCCTCTTTTACACATTTAAGCATTTTCTAATTCTTAATAAGCATGCAATATAACTTAAAGACTTTTCAGAACATTCACATTAAAATACTGTACTAATTTCAACTAACATTAAATTATAGGAAATAAGGCTTGAGATATAATTAGATGTAAGCTAGGGCAGACTTATAATTCAAAGGTTAAATTCTGGAGTACTTATCAGTTGTTCAGAAAGAACACAAACTTTCTTTTTGGAAATTTTGAGGTTATATTCACAAGTTACTGTGTATTTATTTGAATTTCAAAGAGGCATATAATTTCTCAGTCCAACTTGCATTAAGATATCATTTTTTTTAGACAGGGAAGTAGACCCAAGTTACAGACACATGTGCTAGAGTGACTGGGAAAAAATCTTAATCTTACAACTTACTAGCTACATGGCCTTGAACAAGTTATTTAACTACTCTCAGCTTCAGTTTTTTTCATCTGTAAATGGGGGGAATTAACAATACTCACCTATAAAGTTCTAATAAGGAGTAAATAAATGAACAATTAGGGCTGCCAATTAAAAGGATTCTGGACAACAGACATAAATAATTAAAATAATTAAATAGTTGCTAAATCAGAATGAGCCCCAAAGTCACAGAAAAATAAAAGGTTGAAGGACATTAAGAGGGAGCAGTTACACTCACTCACAAAGTTCAAGTGGAGGTTTACACCCAGCCTCGACGAGATCAGAGCAGGAAGGAGCCAGAACTCATAGGAAGAGGCTGAAAGTATTACAGAAGAGTAAATTGCAATATGCAGGCAGACACTTTTAGGAGGTAGGAAGACACAGAAAACAATAAGAAAAGAATATGAAACTGTCCAAACATCTATTACATGCAAAATACATAACCTTTATTAAAAATGTTCTCATTAGAATGATGGCTGGGATTTGCTTTATAAATAATCCAGAGGCCCTCCCTGGTGGTGCAGCAGGTTAAAGTACTACACTGAGAAGCTAAAGCCACTTCCGCATGAGTTCGATTCCCGCCTGCCCTGGAGGTGACCACATGGTGTGGCAGACCTCTCCTGACCCGCCCGCTGCTCCCCTCAGCAGTGTACTTCGTAGATCTGCCTGTTCTGCTCCCCACTTTGTCTCTGGTGAAGCCTCTCACCGCCCCTGAGCCTCTGGCCTGTACCCCAATTCTGTATGTACAAATAAATAAATCTTAAAAAAGAAATTAAAGAATCCAGAGAAAGAACAGGGAAGTAGAAGTAGGGTTAAAATAAAACTGAGTCTACTTAAATGGCCATTAAAGTTTGGTGATGAGGACATGATGATCATTGTATTATTCTATTTTGCTTCTTTAAATCTTTCCATGGTTTTTAGAATTATTTAATTATATAATGCAAGGATAAGAGGTGTGTGGTTTGCATTTGTGAGAGTGAATGTGAGGTTAAGCTCTATAAAATTAAACCTTCTAAGTATATGTAATCCATCAAACAGACAGAAAGAGGTTCATCAACTGTATAAACTACATGGCAGAGGAATGTATTAGCCAGGTTGGAAACACTAGTAGAAGGTACAGTCAGAGGAACAGGAAAAACATAAGCAAGGAAAATATTCACAGAGAATGGAGGATGACAGGAGAAGCAGCAAATAACTAGCAGGGGAAACTATTTTTTAAGCAAAGGTTATATATTTCTTGAGTGATTACTGTGTCCTAAGAGGAGTTTAGCTTTTTTTTTTGCATTTTTTTTTAATGTTAGCATCGTTACATTTTTTTTAAAGATTTATTTATTTATGCATACAGAACTGGGGTACAGGCTAGAGGTGCAAGGGTGGTGAAAAGATTCACCAGAAACAGAGTGGGGAGTAGAACAGGTAGATCGATGAAGTATACTTCTGAGGGGAGCAGAGGGCGAGGCGAGACAGGAGAGGTCTGCTGAGCCTGAAGTCATATCCGGGGCCAGGGATCGAACTCACAATGAAGCGGCTGTGGCTCTCTTGCAGTGTGGTGCTTTAACCAGCTTTAACAAGGTAGGGCCCTTGTTTAGGTATTTTTACAACATTTTCTCATATAATCCTTATCACAGCAAATTAATAATGTGGATACTGTTATCCTCAATTTAAAATAAAACAAACCTCACAAAACCAAGTAAATCAACCACATGGATACTAAATGTCAGAAGCAAGATATATAAGCTCTTGTTAATGCTGAAAGTCTTTGTATACACAGTGATTCAGGTCATATAAGCAGCCCAGTTATCTGAATTTAGTGTTGCACATGAAGCTGAGACTATGTTTTGGGAAATACTAGTTTAAAGCCTGGCTTAAAAACGCTGGGCAGATCTACAGATAAAGAAAGTTTCTTCTGGTTCTCTCCACTCCCATTATTTCAACTTATATTAGGAGCACAGGTGCTAAGATTTTTGGTTTTGTTTTAGAATTCCAGGTGGGTAAAATTCAGCTTGAGGCCCTCCCTGGTGGCGCAGCGGGTTGAAGCAAAGCACTGAGAGGCTAAAGCCACTTCTGCATGAGTTCGATCCCCGCCTGCCCTGAGGAGAGGAGGAGACCAAATGGCATGGCAGACCTCTCCTGGCCCGCCCGCTGCTCCCCTCAGCAGTGTACTTCGTCGATCTGCCTGTTCTGCTCCCCACTCTGTCTCTGGTGAAGCCTCTCGCCACCCCTTCACCTCTGGCCTGTACCCCAGTTCTGTATGCATAAATAAATAAAATCTTTGAAAAAACAATTCAGCTTCAAGGATAGGTCAGAAGAGAGTAGCAAAAACAAGCTATACCAACAGTAAAACAATGTGCTATTATCTATTTGACAGACCCCAAGGCCAAATCACAAATAATCTTACCTTCAGCAGTTGAGAGAAATTACTTTGCAGAGAATTAGTTATACCATTTTCACACAATTTTTTCCTCATGTGGTTTTCACTCATATTTCCACCATCTGAATGATACCTTAATAATGACTTCAGCATGGTTTCAAAAGGATCCACTGAAACAGATAAATTGTACATTTTAAATGAAAATAATCACTAGAATACATCAGTGAAAGAGCAAAAAGACTAGGGAGGTAAAACCTTTTAGCTGACTTTTATTCATAATTCCCCATCTTTCCTAAATATATGAACTGTTAATAAAAATTGGCAAGAACAATATATTCAAGATCTTTCAGTAAATCCCACGGTTGCAATAGCACAAAATTTCATACTGTGTTTTGAACCACCATTTTCCCGTAGTGCTCCAGCTAACGGTTCCCAAATTTCCTTTGTGGTCAGTTTTGAAAAATCTTTCCAGAAGCCCTTGCATTCATTCAGTTGCCAAATAATGTACTTCTACATTTGCATTGTCGTTTCCACTTACCTACTCCTTTCCAATTATATAGCTAATTCATGTTGCTTGATGATCTACTCAGCAAGCAGTACTGAGTGTTTCTTACTAGGCATGCACGTGAAATGATGGGAGTGGAGCGGACCAGAAGAAACTTTCTTGGTAGATGCGCTCTGTGTTTTTAAGTCAAGCTTTAAACTTGCATTTCTCAAATAGAAACAGACACTATTTTCTTTTAAGATTTATTTATTTATGCACACAAGAGCTGAAGTATAGGTCAGAGACAGAAAAACCTGTCACATTTTACAAAGAACTATGTTCCCTTTTTGAGAGAACTCTCTGTGGGATCATTTGGACACTGTCTGCATTCACAACCCCCAACATTCAAGTATGAGCTCTGTAGAAACAGAGGCCCTGGTTCTGAAGGTTTTCCTCATCAGTTTATTCTTGAGAACAAAATCAGGTCATAAGCCTGGTTTCAAGCTTCAGCTCCGTCACTAATTAGTTGTATAACCAGGGGAAAGTGACTTAACATCCCTGTATCTCAATTTTTCTTCTGTACAATGAGGATAACCATAATATCTACTTCAACAGGTTGTTCGAAGAATTAAATGAGTTAGTATATGTAAAGGGCTTTGAATGGTTCTGACATGTAGTAACTGCTACAAAACTATTCAGTAAACAAAAATAAGCAAATATATTTCATCATCTTAAGACCTGAAAGTATTCTTTCATTTAGCCATTGGGAATTACTGCAATTTATATCAAATTGTTATGAGTTATCCTAATTACTTACTACTATTCTTATTCTATAGATTGTTTACTATTATTTATTTACAAATGCATAATTATAGAATTTTCTCATGTATGTGATTATCAACTAAAGAGAAATTCCTTAACATGGCAGTTATAAGTCAAAGATCATAGTCAATCTTCTCTCCAGAAAGTCTGTTCAATATTTACACTTTCTTTTTCTCTATTCCCTCATCAGCAAAGTGTTTTGTCTGTGTTTTTCATCTCTCCACTCATTAGATAGCACGATCACTTTTATTAGCAGCCTACTAATAATTAATGAGGTAGAAATCTTTTCATTTGCTTACTGGTCATTTATATTTATTTTCTTAACAATATCCATTTTCTACAATTGCATTTTATTTTTGTTTTCTTATTAACTTATATATGTAGTAAATAGTTGTCCCATTTTTCTTTCTGCTAAACTTTTTCATGGCTCCTTTTGATTCTAGCTATCTAATAATCAGTTACTATTTAGTAATGTGAAGCCAACATTTTCCCACCTCTCTTTCATCCTTTTTAAGGCCCTTTCATTATACTGAGATATTTCATTATCATGTAGTCAGAACTACCCAACTTGTACTTGATGGTTTATCTCATGTAATGATAAGAAAGGGTTTATCAACATTCCTTCACAGGATTTAATTTTTAAATATTTTCTTCTACACTTTTATGATTCCATGTCTTAATCATTTTGAATTTATTTTGGCATAAAGAGTGTGGCAAGGATTAAGATGTATTTTTTTTTAAGTAATCATTTTTTAAAAAGATTTATTTATTTATACATACAGAACTGGGGTACAGGCCAGAGGTGCGGGGGTGGTGAGAGGCTTCAACCACAAAAGACAGAGTAGGGAGCAGAACAGGCCCACTGAGGAAGTACATTACTGAGGGGAGCAGTGGGCGGGTCAGGAGAGGTCTGCTGTGCCATGTGGGTCACCTCCAGGGGTGGGGATTGACTCATACTGAATTGGCTTTAGCTTCCTAGTGCTGCGTTTTAACCCGCTGCACTACCAGGGAGGGCCTGTAATTAATCATATTCTCCAAAATCATTTATCACCTTTCCCTTTTATCATAGATACTTAGTTTATAGATGTGATAGGCTACATATACTATTCTAGCAATCTGTATACTCATTACAGTACAAAAATTTATTTTTAAAAAGATTTATTATTTACATAATGCATAGAAGAACTGGGGTTCAGGCCAGAGGTATAGTGGGTAAAAGAATCACCACAGAGTGGAGAGCAGAACAGGTGGATCTACTGAAATATATTGCGGAGGGAAGCAGTGAGGAAGACAGGAGAGGTCTGCTACACTGTATGTGGCTTAGCTCCCCGGCCAGGAAAGAACTCAGGCCATATGGGGATAGCTCTGATATTGAACCCCTAGGCCTTTATAATACACTGTTCTGCTCGTACAAACTATTCTCATTAATTTTATTTCTAACTGTTTCTGGGCAGTTCATGTAACTTATCTTCTCAGGGTACCCTGGAAATATTTTTCCAAATTCACCCCCACCAAAAAAAAAACCTCTGGGAATTTAGCTTGGGGTCTTATTGCATGTACTTCTAAACTGTAGGAATAATCATTTTACAACACTGTGGTCTTAAATGAGGCAATAAAAATAGACTTCAGCATAATGCCAGGCACATATTAAAAAGCATTCAATAAATGTTAGCTATTTCTATCTGTGAATAATACATAATTCTTCCTTTATAGACATTCATCCCTAAAAGAATAGGATCTCTAATTAGAAAGAAAATTAAACTCACATGTCTTATTGGGGTTGATATGCTGCTTCAGGACATGAACAGTGCCCAAACTAACCACAAGGCGCCTTCCAAACCAGAAAGAGACCACAGGCCCATATCTCTCATGCAAATTAACCAGGAACTCATGCAAACTTCCACTGTTGACAATATCTGGAAGATTGCCATCTCTGAGAAGAGAATCACATTTGACAAAATAATCAGTGTGACTTGAAATAATCAGAAATACAACAGTTGATTCTGAATTGTGTCAACAGATGAAAACAAAGGTACTTGAAATTCAAATTATTGCAAAAGACAATTATACTGGACTTCTTGCTTAGTTATATTTAGATATAGATTTGCCTGATATTTTAAAAATTAAAAAAGCTTCAAGCCAAGTGAGGAAGCTACACAAGGACTTAAGTCACTGGAAAATATTCCAATTTTTGCAGTACCTCATTTTGAAATAGCAGTGAACATCATCACATCAGCCATGAACAAGTTTTTTCTTCATTCCATCTATCTTTATCCTTTCTGTTTTTAACTGTCTCTGGCTAAGGAAAGTGAAAGCAGCTGAAGATTTGATTTACACAGCCTGCTTTTTTGTTAACAAGGTTTTGATTGTATGTCCACAATTAGCTTTAGAGTCAACAAAGAAATTAAGTAAGCTGATTAATCTAAACATATGGTACAGTATTGATTAAAAAAGATTACTTTTCTTCTGTTGGAGTAATCCCTGGAATTCCTGCAGCCCGTCTGGAAGCCTTAAGGAAAAATTTAAAAATAATTTAGTATAATGAATTATCACATATATCTGATGTATCTTCTAAGACATCTCCAAAAAGTGTAAGTGATATCTTTCCAATTTGGTGGAATCTCAGAAATTATTTCGATATTAAGATGCAAAAACTGAGTCCTTTGTAGAGGTAAGTATCTTCTTAGTATACTTTCTCTGTGTCAACTAAACAAAAGTATTTTGAAGAATTTAACATCCACTCTATATCTCCTAATACATAATCAAGTACAGTTTTCTTTGTTCTGAGTCTTGGCTTTAAAAAAAAAAAAAAGCCAGATGGCTTGGCTTTAAAAAAAAAAAAAAAAGCATCAGTGCCATGCTTATAATAGTTTTGTTCCTGAAATAGTTCTGCTCTTTCTAGTCAAAGATTTTACTGAACTACTATAAAAATTTTATTTTTTTAGCTGTAAGTCATTATTATGCAGCAAATAAAGGATGAACTAAGAGAGTTCTTTGGCATCCAGGAAATAGGGTATGCAACACAGGTGAAGGGAATATCCCCAATCATAGGAGGACAAGATCTACGCAGCTGAATGAGATAGATGGTAACCAGCACCACCTGGGTAGGGATAGAGAGCCCCAGAAGAGATATCTTCATGGGGCAACACATGAAAACTTGCCATTGTAACAACATGGATGTAACCAGCCGTAACCAGCCGGGATTATGTGAACCAAAATACGTCAGGAGGAGAAAAATTCCAGATGATTTCATTCATTTGTGCACTATAAAGAAATAAAACAAAGCTTGATATCTGTAGAATTAGGCTACTAGAGGGGGCTGATGGGGACTGGGTGTAAAGTTAGGAGTGGGGACAGATTTGGCGGGGCAGATATGGTAGAGATTTATTAATGCTTTGGTGGTAGCCTAGTGTGAGCCTATGCCTCTGGTGACATACAGTCCTGTAAACCAACATTACCTCATGAAAAAAATAAGAATATACAACTGATGTCTTTGAATATGTGGACAATTTCAATGAGCAGTATTATGGAAAAAATACTGAAATTTGTGGGGAAAAAAACTGATAGGAGTGAACAAGCTCTCATAGTATGTAAAAACTAGGAACAAGGAACAACCCCTCCTAACCACCCCAATGCTGGCTTCCACAGCTCCATCAGCAGGCAGGAAGAGGAAGGTGTTCTCTGGGTGATTCCTGTGCCAACCTCCACACTTCATTAGCAGACAGGAAGCGCGACCAGGTAAAACGCTCTGTCCTTTACTATATCCGTATTTTCCAAATATCTAAAATGATGAACTCTTTCCAAAATGTACCTGGGAAAACCCTGTGCAAATCTCTTGAGTATCCAGAGCCTCCCCACTTCCATACGCTTTGATAAGGTCCAGAATAATATTCTTAAGACCTTTTTCCTTACTTACATCAGACACCACATGAAGTCCAGGACTACCATTTCTAGGTTTTCCCCCATACCCTTAGATTTCCACTCCTAAATTGCACCCTGCTTCCTGACCCACTTCTTCCCCACTAAAACCTCCATCACACCTCAGCCCCGACTCCAAAGCTCACATACTACAGATCTAGACATTTCCAATAAACCAACACCTCCAGATGTTACCATCAGCTGTCCAAACCTCCCCGTACTTATCTTCCCTCCTTGCGATTTTGGCTACCTTGACTCCAAAAATAGTTGTTCCCCCAACAGGTGCTCATTTCCATTCCAGTACATTTGCTAGCACTGAAACGAACATTAAGAAAGTATTTTGCCATGATCAGGGATCTTCTTGGACTTGTTCGGCTACTTTTCAACTTTTACTATAAAACCACCACCTTGCTTCGTGGGTGACTGTATTTAATAATTCCTCAACCGTTAGTTCCTTTGTGGACAAAGACATTCTCTAGAGAAAGGGTGGGCGCTTCAGAGAATCAAGCCGGGCAGACCAGGCAAGTTCTCACCGCGTTGCTCCAGCTCTGACCCACTTGCCTCTGAGAGGCTGCGAGGACTCAGACCCGACAGTCCGACAGGACTTTGGGTGTCTAATAATAAGCACAGATCGAGAGACTGTTGTTGGAGAAACCACCGAAAATTGCAGGTAGGAAGCTGGGCACAAAAGAAAGCAGTGTGCACCCTCAAGTTTCCTTCCAGACACACGAGAACATGGGTTCGGCAGGGTTATCGCCGAAGCGACCCGAGACTTTCACACCTGCCGGATAATGCTGGCCGAACCCGGCGCGGGGTGCACAGACCCAAAGACGCGGCCCTCTCCCCTCTCCCCGCTCCCGCGCTCGCGTTCCCCCAACCCCTCCCCCCCCACCCGCCCAGCGCGCGCCACGCTCTGCGCCTGCGCCTCCCTCCTCCCGGCCGGACTGGACCGCGCCCCGCGAGGCGCCACGTGACCCGCGAGCCAGCCGCGCTGGGCGGGGCCACCCCCTCTTCCCTCCCCCGCGGCCCGCGGCGAGCTGACTACGTGGACGCGCGTAAAGCAGAGCCCCGGCGGCGGCCAGAGCCCTTGCGGGCGCAGGTGGCGGTTACCGGGTAGAGGTAGAGCACCGCGCCCACCAACGCCAGCAAGAAGGTGACGGCGAAGATCGCGAAGTCCAGCATGGTTCTCCGCCGGGAGCCACGTCTCGGATCCGCAGCGGCGCCTCTGCCTGGAGAGACCCGTGGAATGAGGGCGTGGGCGGAGGTGCCCGCGGGAGCCGGGAGCGAATGGGCCGCGGGATTGGGGGCGGGGCCAAGGGTGGCCCCGGGCTGGTGGGGGAAGCGTTGGGGCGTCGGGTAGCCGGCAGGAAGCGCGAGCCCTCTCCCGGGGCGCTGATTAGGGAGACGCGTTGGAAGTTGCAGGGGAAAGCAGAGCCCAGACTGTGCAAAACGTTAGACCTTGTGGGTCTGCGCCATCCCGTCGCTGTAGCGTTATTTTCAGGTTTAAGAGTCAAGACCTCTAACGCAGTGGTTTCCCAAATGCTGGTCCCAGCACCAGCAGCATCACAAGAGAACGTGCGATAAATGCATTTTCTCCATCGACTTACAGAATCAGACACTACGGGAAGGCGAAGGATAAAGCAGTCTAGTTTAACAAAGCTGTTAAACACAAGCAGAAGCACGGACCTGAGTACACCGGGAGAGGAAATTGCTTGAGTCAAACACTCCTAGTTTCCCAAAACAATTTTTGTTTGAAGTGCTAGTAAACGCGATTCCTAGATATGCCCTCCTGAGTGAAGATCTTGTCCATGATAGATAATAGGGTAAGATTATCTGGCTCTGCTAGAGTTTCAATAAATTTAATCTTCTAAATTTGCATTTCTTCGTATGTGAAACAGTGGCATTGATGGGGAGGGATCTGGTCTGTTCCATGTAGTTTGCCTCTTAGTTGTGATGCGACAGAACCCAGTACAATCTCTTAGAGTAACTATTAATTGCTACTACATTCTGGATATATCGTTTAAAGGAAGTTTGTATAGTAAATCCTGGAAGATATAATCTTTCTCTTTCTCGCTCTTTCTTTTTTTGCTTCTTCATCAATATTATTCCTCCTTTCAGGGTAAAGGTCAAGCCAGTTTACTTGTAGTTCATTATAGAAGGTATAAAAGATTCCGCTTTCGTAAAGTCAGATTCTTTGCCTGTGATACATGATTTCATTGAGAATAGTTCTAGGTTTTACATTTTGTTCTAAAATTCATTTCAACTTGTAAAAGGAAGAGATCGTTTAACCAGTTCCAAACACTACTTGCTGAAAAGACTTCTTTACTGTTAACTTACTTTGGCACATTTGTGGGCAATAAATTCATCATAAGTCATCATATATATGCAAGTATATCTAAGAGGCTTCTATTTTATTTTTCTACTGCTCTAGCCTTACACAAATAATACAAAGTCTGGATATTTGTGCAGCTATGGTAAATCTTGAAATCAGAATAAAACTCTCAACTTTGTTCTTAATTTTCAAATTGTTTTGGTTTTCTGGGTCCTTTCAATTTTCATATAGAACTTAAAATCAGCTTGTTTTTTCAAATATTTATACATTTAACTTTGCTTCAATTTTTATAGCTTCAGAGTGCATGCCCTATAGATATTTTATTACATTTACCATTTCACACTTTCAGTAGTTATAAGTTGTATTGTTTTGAATTTCAGTTTTTCAGTACCATTATATAGAAGAAAGCCTATTTTGTGTATATTCACCTTGTAGCCTGTGATATCACTAAGCTCATTTTTATTTTGTGTTTGTGTGTGTATGTAGATACTTTAGGATTTTCTACATATATATGTGAACTGGCCTACTTAATATATGTGAACTGCAAAGGAGAGTTCTTTGTTTTCATTATATATTCTTTTATTTCTTATATTGCACTATCTAGGAGTTTCAGTACCATCTTGAACAAGAGTAGTGAGAAAAGGTATTCTTGCCTTATTTCTGATCTTAGAAATAACCAATTCACTGTTACCACTTATGCTATGTAATCTATAGGTTTTTTATGAAATTATTAATAGTTTTATTAAGGAAATATCCTTTTATTTTTTTGTTGGGAATTTTTATACTGAACAAAGGAACTTTTTTTGTCAGTTGATTTACCTTAATATAATATATAAAGTCCATATATTCTTAAATAACCCTCATAAATTCATGAACTGGACCACACTTGGTCATGATGCACAATTATCCCTTTTATTTATTACTAAGTTGAAAGCAGATCTTAAAGATCTTGTCCATGATAGATAATAGGCTCTAGTTCTGTGAGGGATTTTTGGTAGTTGTTGCAGGGTGAGAGGAAGATAACATGTATTTCAATCTTTTTTTGTAGCTTTTTGCCAGCAGGATCTTAAACCTGGATTTCCGCAGTACTTTTTCCTCGTCGCTATCCATTCACTAGAGGCTATGTTTTATTCTCTTCTCAAGAAGTAATGCCTTCTGAGATGGCCACATTAAATTCTGCACATTAGGTTAATTGTATAAGAATTCTTATCCACTCAAACTTTTTCAAATTTTGCCTGTCTGTTGGATTTGCTGTTTCTTGGAGTCTTTTTTTCTTCAGAAGAAATCAGCCCTACTAACACCTTGAACTCTTAGCTGAGAAACACTTAAAATTCTTTATGAGTGAATTTGTTGTTCTAAGCACTAGATTTGTTACTACAGCAGTAATAACAAAGTACCACTTTTGTGGCAAATAAGTATGTTAAAGAAGGGACAAGTTCTAATATTATGATCAATACTGTATCAGCTACTTTATAATAAAGTAAAATTACCTTTACTTTAGTAAAGGTAATTACTTAAATCTATTTTGCCACTCTTATTAAAAAATCATTTCTTGCCAGAGGAGTGCAAACATTTTTCCTTTGCAAAAGATAATCTAAACATAGCTCCATGAATAAGTATTGCTCCTTTATTTTACAGTGTGTTGTTACATCATAATATGTATTACACATTTTGGTTTAATAAGTTACAATCTATTAACCTTTACATGTGTTTTGTTAATAGAAATGCTTGTTACCCAGATATCTAAACTATACACTGCAGAGCCCCCCCTGGTGGTGCAATGGGTTAAAGCTCAGCACTATGAAGCTTTCAGCAGTCACTGCAGCATGAGTTCAATCCTGGGCCAAGGAGGTGACCCACATGGTGCAGCAGACCTTTCCTGTCTCACCTGCTTCTCAACCCTCAGCAGTGTATTTCAGTACATTTGCCTATTCTGCTCCCCATTCCATCTCTGGTGAATACTCTTATCCCTCTGCCCCCACAACTCTGGCCTGTACCCCCGTTCTTGTATGCATAAATAAGTCTTTAAAAAATAAACATACACTGCAGCATCTGGATCCCCATAACCAATGATTTACCAATTGTTCTATTTTCATTATAAATCTCTCCTGTATGTACAGAAAAAAAGGAAAACAAATCCTAAAGATGAGTTAAAAAACTACTACAGGTGGGGCCCTCCCTGGTGGTGCAATGGGTTAAAGCACAGCACTACACACTACAAAGCTAAAGCCACTTCAGCACGAGTTCGATTCCCGTCTAGGGAGGTGACCCACATGGAGCAGCAGACCTCTTGTGACCTGTCCGTTGCTCCCTTCAGCAGTGTACATCAATCTGCCTGTTCTGCTACCCATTGTCTCTAGTGAATCCTCTCACCACTCAGTTCTGTATGCATAAATAAATAAATCTTTAAAAAAAAAAACTATACAGTAATTGGATTGGATTATGCTAAGTGAAATAAGTTAGGAGAAAAACAACAGATGGTCTCATTTATATATGGAATACAAAGGAACAAAAGAGAGTCAGCTAAAACCAAACCAGCAACAAACTGTAGAGTCTGATCATAAAACTGAGGTTGCCAGAGACGGGAGGAATAAGAGTATAGTGAAGAGGGGCACAATTTCTGCTAAGTTATAATTGAACCAGCTTTGAGTGAGCAGTTTTGGAAAATATGCCAAACAAGAACTGAATAGACTTTTTAAAACATTCTAATAAATTCAGGGTTAGGGCCCTCCCTGGTGGTGCAACGGGTTAAAGCACAGCACTAAGAAGCTAAAGCCAATTCAGCATTGGTTCCATCTGCCAGGGAGGTGATCGACATGGTGTGGCAGACCTCTCCTGACCCACCCGCTGCTCTCCTCAGCAGTGTACTTCATCAGCTGACCTGTTCTGATCCCGACTCTCTGGTGAGTCCTCTTACCACCCCTGCACCTCTGGTCTGTACCCCGGTTCTGTATGCATAAATAAATAAATCTTTGAAAAATAATAATAAATTCAGGGTTAAAAAAAAGGTTTAAAAAAATCAGGGTTAAAAAAATTGAGTGCCCAAAAATTTAAAGTACTGTATGTCATATTAAATGCATGATATGAGAAAATGTAAGTTCCAGTGTAACATGTAAAACAAATCTACTTGTTTGATATCTGGTATGGTTTGTGGACTTATTTCACAAAAGCAAGACAGTCTTAATACTTTAACTGACCTGGTGTTGAGTGTTTTGCAATGGAGCAATATCACCAAATGAATTAATACAGGAGCTCCTAATTCTGCAATTTACCTTCAATAAACTGCACAAATGATGCTAGGCCAAGTAAAGGGTCAATATTCATTTCTGTTTTGTTAATCAGATCTGGAGACAAAAGTATTAGCAAGAACCTGTAACAGAATTTGTATTCTTACTGTAACAGAATTTGTATTCTTACTACTGATTAAGTTCTACTCATCTTAACAAAAACAGATAACAGAAGGTCAACATTTAGACTATTAAAAGCTGATAGAGGATTCTAATGCTGAAAGGAAATAAAAGTTGTTTTTGTTTTATTTTAAAGCCAAGTGTTTATTTGGTAAACTACAAATTTATGGCTTATGATAATTTGCTGGGGGAAATTTAACAATATTTTTGAGATGGTTTTAAAACAAAATGCTTAATACCAAATGTTACATTTGACAAAAAGTGGTTAACCAACATAATTTCTATGTGTGCACAAAGCGCTACAGAAGAAATTCTGCTTATATGAGAAAAAAGCAAATCAATGTGCTACCTAACAAATACTTTAACTTCTTACCTATTCAAATAACTTTGCCAAGGTTCAGTTCTAATCAAACTCTGAATTGAGGACTACGAATCAACTGAATAAAGTAACATCATTTTTTATTTGATTCAGACCCATTCTTATATACAAAGCTAATTTATTA